ATCAAGACGCCGTCCCCTCAAGACAGCTGGACCCTGCAGCATTTTCATTCCTCTTTCATTTTTCTCCATTGATTTTGCCTCGACCCAACTCCTCCCGACTCATTCTGACGTCGATTTGGCTCCATAATCCCAACACAAACGTCCGTTGTACAATGCTCAAAATTTTAAAATTAGTTGGTCTCGGTTGCCCCGTGAGATTAGTCGAGGTGCGCGTAAGCTGGCCCGGACACTCACGTATATCAAAAAAATTTTTACATATATTAGTTGGTCTCAACACGGGCCCAAATTTACTCCAATAAACACTCCTGGCATTCCCACTTTTTGGCGATTGCCCTTCATTTCATTGAATTCAAATTTTTTCTCGATAGTATTTCTATAATCCACTTTCCAATTGCAATGCCTCTACTTGTACTAAATCCCCACCTGTCAATTTATTTCACTCTTTATCACAGGAACAAATTCGTCAGAGATCATCAATAAAAACAGGCCTTCTTGCCTTAGAAGCAAAGGAGGAAATTTTCTAGAGATACAAATCCAAGACGAAATGGCAGTTAGACAAGGACGAAAACACAGGTTTCTTCCATAGATATATGACCACAAAGAGAAGGAAAAATATGATCTTTTTTTTTTTAACAAGAAACAAACTTCTCAATGAATTAATGAAAAGGAATGAAAATGTTCAAAGATACAAACTCTCGAAAGAGTGAAAAAGATAAGAGAAATAACAAATAAACAGAAAAATAACAAGATAAGGTGAAAAAGCTCCAGATAAGTGAGGGAGAGAAATTTTCAAACATAGGTGACATGGAACACCACTGTGAAGCCTTAAATTTAGCCAACGATCCAATGGAGGTTTGTGACGGTCTTTGAAAATTCTGAGATTTCTTTCATATGGAAGCTCATAGAGCAAGGCCTTGACTGCGTTTATCCACAGCAAGCTACTTTGTGGAGGCAGGATTGGGCCAAGGAATAATTGAAGAACATTATCCACTGCTATGTTGCTGAAAACCCATGATAAATTGAACTCTTTGAATAACAAGAACCAGCAATGCAATGCATAAGGACATTGGAAGAAGATATGGATCAGATTCTCCCCACTTGCTTGACAGAACATGCATATTGAGGCTGTAGACAGAAGACAGAGAGCTTTCTTTGTAGAACATCTTCTGTATTCAACCTTAGAATGAAAAATATGATCACATAAATCCTAACAAGCCAAGCCTCTGGCCTTCTAAACGAAGATGATATTGAAACTAAATTTATCCATTTCTACAAAGATCTCTTCATAAATCTAGATAGAGATAGGTCCCTTCCTCCATCAATTACATGGAACACCATCTCCCGCACTCAAAATTCATCTCTAGAGGCTCCCTTCATAGAAGAAGAAATGTGGCTTTGGCCAGCCATACAAAATTTGGGATTGAACAAAATCCCTGGACCAGATGGTTTCGCTGTCGAAGTCTTCAAAAAGTCTTGGAAGATTCTTAAGGCCGATTTAATGGTGTTCCATAACTTTTTTAAGAGTGTTATTTTTTTTTTTTTGAACAGGAAACGAACTTTTCATTGATAAATGAAAAGGAACATAAAATGTTCAAGGATACAAAGTCCAAAGGAGTGAGAAGGATAAAACATAAAGTTGAAACAAAATGAATAAAATTACAAAGGAGAGCTAAAAGCATCCCAATTAGAATCAATCATGCTAGGTGAGTAATTGACAAAAAGATTGGAAAGAGCACACCATTGAGAAGCTTTGAATTTGGCAATGTGAAAACATTCCAACGGATGCCTTTTTAACCCTTCGAAGGTCCTTTGATTGCGCTCGAACCTTAATTCATAAATAAGGGCTTTAAGACCGTTGACCCAAAGTGTAATGTAGCTCTAGGATTCATGTGTAGACCAAACAGCAACTGAAAAACCAAGTTCGAGACTGACTTGTCCATAACCCAAGGTAGATTGAAGATACCAAAAAAGGCAGACCAACAGGTTGCTGCAAATGGGCAGAAAAAGAAAGTGTGCAGCTGATTTTCGCTTGAGTTTACACAAAAAACACAAGCAGATGGCTGGAGAAACATATATGGTATCTTTTTCTGCATAATTTCAGCTGTATTGACCTTGCCAAACATAAGAATCMATGTAAGGACATTAACCTTCTTGGGGCTACCAGAATTCCAAAKCTTTGAGCAAAAATCTCGTGGTAATGCAGCAAAGGGAGCCTTAGAGTTACATAAGGAGCTGACAGAAAAAGTCCCATTTTTATTCAGATTCCAAGAAAGTTTGTCTTCATCATCATTTAACAAAACCAAATTCAGATTGTCCAATAATTCAATATATTCAGCAAATTCTCCATCTTTTAGCGACCTTCTAACTTCAATCCTCCAAGAGGAGGTGGTTGAATCCCAAGCTTCATGAACCGAAAGGTAGGGGTTCGAGGAAACCCGAAACATAAGTGGAAACTTGTCCTTTAAACAAGACTCGCCCAACCACAAGTGATGCCAAAACAAAGTACGTTTGCCATTTTTTACTGATAATGAAGAGAATTTCTGTACCTTTTTCCACTGTTTTTGAATGTTGTTCCAAGGGCTACAACACCCCAAATTCTTCTTTTCCAGAGTGTTCCAATCAAAACAATCTGTTTCATAAATGCTGGCCACAACCCGGCGCCATAGCGCAGAAGTTTCCAAACTAAACCTCCAACCCCATAAGCCTCACGACTTGTCTACCTCAAGAAGGTAGATGCAAAAACACTGATTGATTTCATACCCATAAGCCTCACGACTTGTCTATACAAGATCATTTCACATGTCTCATCTGAAAGGTTGTAGAAAATGTTGCAAGAAACCATCACAGGTTTTCAATCAGATACATTTAATGGAATTTTTTCACCATCTGCTTGAAATATTTCGTCATCTAAAAATACAAAAGATGAAGCAGCTAAATCTCATCTTCTATAACCATTTTGATACGATTAAAGATCAAGGCAAATGGTTGTTTCTTGCCTTGATTGATGCTGGCTGCACTTTAGAGGATACTGAATCGAGACATTAATTTACTTGAATGAAGAAACTACCCAGGCAAGGATCTTTGATTTCAATCTCAGCTAGAAGGATACACAAAGTTCTTTTGAACTTCAATCCAACATATTCAATGTTTTGGAAGAACAATTGACTAAGCCTCCCTAATAACTTCCAAGAGCTTCGAAACAACTAGAAGTCCAATATCTTAGTTAGTGGTAAGTTTGGGATATTAATCCATCCTCCATATCCCACCATGAACTTAGGTTTGCTATGCTTTAGTGCCAACCAGTTTTCCATTTTCAAATGGAAAAGACCTATGTTCATCCATTTCCTACTAATTCCAAGCCGTTTTAGCACTCTTCCATTCTCCATAGTAAGGCTTTGTCAGCCATAAAGGGATTAAGGAAACAATCAACTTCAAAATAGTTCTTCAACAATGGATATTTCTTTCGAATTATCATGAGCATTAAGACTAGAAATAACTACCAAAAAATTCCAGAATCCAATTCAACAACTTCTTTTTACTTTTTGACCCCATATGATGGTTGAATGTCCCTTTTCCATTGACTTGAGTTGTGTTCCTTGAAAATAAATTCCTTCGAGTGTTCTTCAAAATAGAATCTTCTACTTCCACTCTAGGAGAATCAATTTCATTTTGCTTTAAAATAGAATCTTTTAACACTTTCCAAAAATAACTAACCACCTCTTTTGTTCTCGGACTACAGTTCTTTTTCTCAAATCTGAATTAGATACTCCGATACATTCAAGGCACCAACAAAACTGATTGTGTTTTTTCAAAAGTCTGCAAATGCCATAATCTCTTTTTGCTTGTCTGAGAGGTCCTTTGGTAGTAATGCATCAAATCTACAATTGCCTAAGAGGCACGGACATGTACACGACACAAAACGAACACAGCAATATGTCAATTTCTAAAAATATAGGACACAGGCACGTTGGGTTATACGATATTTTTTTTAGAAAAAATTAGATTCATTTTTGTGTATATATTAATGTAGTAATACTTTTAAATAAATTAACTATAACTTAAAAAAAAAAAAAAAAAAGTTAACTATACAAATGGAATTCGATTGCATCTTCCAACCATAAAAGTTGTTTCCTACCAAGAGAAATATGAAATTTCCTAATAATTTTTTCCTCTTGATATCTGTGAGTATTCGGATCAACTACCGCACACCTCGACTAATCTCACAGAGCAATCGTCTGACCCTACAACATTTGATGATGGAAAACACATGGGATATAATTCCCAATGTAGGTGGCTACAACCTATCTTTTCTTCAAATGTGAAAATGTCATTCTTTGATTCCTGGATGAAAGAATACTTATTTTCAACACAGGAGTTGCTAAGATCCATGAATTTGAAGGCTTTGAAACAAAAGAGCTTGAAGATTAAAAACTAACTAAAGCAAACTGAAGATCCTAAGGGTCTGGAGACTTCGGAAACTAACAAAGGTTGAAAATCACCATATGCACTAAACTTGAAACCTTAGGTAAATGATTACAGAAGTAATAAGATCAGAAAGTTCAACAGATCTTGAATCTTCAAAAACTAACGAAAGTTGAGAATCGTGGGGAGAGAAAGAGGAGAGAAAAGAGAACGTCAATTTCCCCTAAAAAGAGCACAATAAATTTCAACAATTAAATCAATTTAGACAAAATTGAGAAAGAAACTCGTAGGATATTAAATCCTAGGTAAGTGGCCACCATAGTTTGAACTCATTCCCTCTAAGTCTTTTGCTATTTACATTGGCCCTCATTGACCACTTGGGCCATCCCATGATGGTTAAAATATTATATGCTAAAAATTGATAAGTTGAAGGTAATCTTCTAATTAACTAAATTTTTTTCCATTTAGATAAGAATTCTTTCTCAAATTCCTTGAAATAAACACTATCCAGCAGGAGAGAAGTGGTATTTGAAGGCTAATTTATATAATATAAAAAATTAAGGACTTGATAAACTCACAGAACAAGATGTTTCCTCGGACGGCTTTCTTATCTCTTCTTGAATATAGTCATCTTCAAGTTCAAAAAGTTGCAATGAAGTTAGAAACTTGGAAGGAAAAACTTGAAATGCACTAATCTCTGCACGTCTGTAACTCAACCTGTGCGGGGAACAATTGAAACAAACAGATGATGAGTAACAAAAAATAAAAGACCACTTAAATACTATTCAGCTTAAGAGCAATGAGCTAAAATGAAATTCTGGTTCTTACCACCTTATGTTGTACAGAACTTATGGTAAAAACAACTTACGTGTTGGAAGCATTGGGATCGCAATAACTTCGTAGTGATAGGGGTACTCGAAAAACAATTCGTTGATATCTGTAATAATGAAAAAGTCAATGTATAGTATATAACAGACAAGTCATGACTTGAATGATATTTATGATTCTTATTTGGTGTTTATATGTGTGAACCAGCGTGGAGCTAGCTCTTCTCCATAGGTCAGTTGAGCAAATTCTTACTGTCTTATTGAGATGATGTTTCTTTACTATGTCCCTAGAAAGAACCATAAAGCAGTAAAAACTCAACCAAAGAGTCAGGTTTGCTTCCCTATTCATGGAATGTATATACATACAACGACCCAAGAAAAAGAAGGAAAGAAATTGAAATATAGGAAACTGCTGCAAGTCCTCACCGCACAAACTACAGGCCTGTCCATAGGCCACTCCTATTATTTATTTATTTGTTGCCTTCAGTTTTTATATTCCTTGTATTCTTTTTTTTTTTACCAGTACCCCATTTACCATGTTTTATTTTTTATACTAGAAAAAAAAAATCCATCTGTTTCATCTTTTCTCAAGAATCTTGACAAGAATATCCAGCAATCTAATTTAGCGGAGGAAAAATGCTCAAGTTTTTCCTAATATGGAAAGAAAGTCCATTGTCAACAACTTTGCAGATGGACATTTAGTGCTAAAGTCTCATTTACTTCCTAATGATTTGGAAGAACATAAAGCCATTGATAAGGAGATCAGTATCTCTGGTGTTATTAATTCAACCAATGGAATCAATTACAAATGCTCATATTTTATTGAAGAGGATATTCGGATAACGACTCAGAAGTTAGCATTAGTAGCATGACTCAAAACATTTCTTTTCTAAAGTAAATGCAAATCATGAAATCAAAATTGCTGAAGGGTTTGAAGAAACTGAAGAGATTCTATGTTCGTTATTCAAACCTTCTAATTTCTTCACAAAACCCTACTGATTCCAATCAGAATTTTGTCCCTCCACCTTCCATTTTTTTTTTTTTTTTGATAAGAAACAAAGTATTCATTGATCTATAAAAAAGGAGACAACCTAAGGGCGGGGGTTGAGAAAACCCTCCCCCATAAAACTAGATAATGGCAGCCTTCCAATCTCTAGCTAACATCTATAGGCTATAATTACAAAAGAATATTTTGTGGTATATAGTCCATCACGAAGCAACATGCTGTACACTGTTACTAAAACTCTCCACAGTAGTGTGTTTGTTTTCAAAAAGCCTCGTATTCCTTTCCTTCCAAATCAACCAAAGAGTCGCTCTGACCGCACAATTCCATAGAACATAAGCTTTACCTTTGAGCAAGCCTCCCACAAAATTTCCAAGAAACAGATCATCTATTCTCCTAGGATAGCAAAACTGTAACTCCAACTCCGTCCGAACAAAATCCCATGCCTCAGTAGCAAATGCACAATGAAAGAAGAGATGGTCTATAGTCTCCGAAGCACCCTTACAAAGCCCACATACCGAAGGAGACAGAGCCCAAAAAGGAGATCTTCTTTTGGAGCCTCTCAACTGTATTGAGACCCCTATAGAAAACTGTCCACAAGAAGAATCTAACTTTCCTCGGCACCTTGAAATTCCATATATAGGAGACGACGGGAGCTTTCAGCTTTGATGGAGGATTAGACAAAAGGGAGAAAGTTGTTTTTGCCAAAAAGATCCCACTGCTATCCCCATTCCACCAAAGTTTATCTTTCCCATTTCCTGGCTGCCAAAAATCATTCTTTTCTAAAAGGCTTGCTCAGCGAGTAAGTTCTCTGTCAAAAAAATTCCTTCTCAGCCCCAGATCCCAAGTATGGGAAGAAGACACCCAACAATCTGCCACAGAGCAGGGTTGAAATCTTGTACAGATCAGGGAAGGAGGATGAAAGAGGCAAAGAATCTGCCAACCACCTTCCCAAAATCTCACCCGGTCTCCTTTAAAAGTGGTCCACTTCTCAAAGCTGCCTCTGATTCTAGCAATGTCTATCCAAGGGCCACCCTTTGAAGCTTCATTTGAAGGAAATAGAAAACCAGCCGTGGTTCTCTACCCCATAGATCGCTCCAATGACCCGTCTCCACAAAGCTTCCTCCTCGTGTGCGAATCTCCATAGTCATTTAAACAGAAGAGATTGATTCCTCTGTTTTAACGAACCAATCCCCAGACCACCCTGTTTTTGAGGAAGGGAAGCTGTTTCCCAATTTACAAGTCGACCCCCCTTTTTATCAACTCCCCTTTCCAAATTGTTAGAGTATATATATTAGTATATTTTATATATTGTAGTATATTAGTCTTTTACCTTCTCCGTATATGATTAGGTCAACCTTGTATATTTGTCTATATATATAGACTTCAGTAATGAGAATAAAGTTATCTGGTGGGTCATCCATCTCTCTCCGTGCAAAAGAGTCTTCGTCCACAATTTCATAGTTTGCATTCTTTCGACTGTGAGTCATGTCAATTTGCTAAGTTTCATCGTCTCAGTTCATAGCCTATAGTCAATACACGAGCTAGTGCTCTTTTTGAATTAGTCCATTCTGATGTTTGGGGTCCTTGTCTTATTGAGTCGAAAAGTGGATTTCGGTATTTTGTTACTTTTGTCGATGATTTCTCTCGTGTAACTTGGTTATATTTGATTAAACATCGTTCTGAGTTACTTTCTCATTTTCGTAACTTCCATGCTGAAATTCAGACTCAATTTGGAAGCTCTCTTAAAGTTCTACGGAATGATAATGCTAAAGAATATTTTTCTGGTGCTCTTGGCTCCTATTTAAGTGAACATGGTATTCTTCATCAATCGTCGTGTGTTGATACTCCATCTCAAAATGGAGTTGCAGAAAGGAAAAATAGACATCTTCTCGAAACAGCAAGGGCCTTAATGTTTCAAATACATGTTCCAAAATATTTTTGGGCCGATGCTGTTTCGACGGCGTGCTTCTTGATTAATCGCATGCCTTCATCAGTTCTTAAGGGTGAAATACCTTATCGTATTCTATGTCCTACGCAACCTTTATCTCCTATTAAACCTAAAATATTTGGTTGCACTTGTTTCGTTCGGGATGTTCGCCCCCAACTCACCAAATTGGACCCTAAGTTCTTGAAATGCATTTTCCTTGGTTATTCTCGTGTTCAAAAGGGGTATCGATGTTATTGTCCTGATCTCAATAGATATCTTGTCTCTCCTGACGTTACGTTCTTTGAAGATACTCCTTTTTCATCATCCTTGAGTACCAATCAGGGGGAGCATTCACAGGAAGATGATGACTTTCTTGTCTATTTAATTGTCTCTTCTTCTACTGACATGCTCCCTACCTCTGTGCCTGATCCTTCTCTCCCACCTATTAATAAAGTTTATTCTCGACAGCAACCTCCTTCGGTCTCATGCCCTATACCAGCAGCTTCTTCGTCTGTGGATCCAGGGTGGATCCAGGAACGAGTGATGATCTTCCTATTGTTCTTCGGAAAGGTAAGTGTAAGTGTACTTACCCTGTTTCTTCTTTTGTTTCATATAACCATTTGTCCTCACCTACTTATTCGTTTATTGCATCCCTTGAGTCTGTATCTATTTCCTAAAACTATTCATGCAGCTTTGTCTCATCCTGGTTTGCGAGCTGCTATGTTGGAGGAGATGACTGCCTTAGATGACAATGGTACTTGGGATTTAGTGTCTCTTACTGCAGGAAAGAAACCTATTGATTGTAAATGGGCATTTACGGTTAAAGTTCATCCTGATGGATCAATTGCCCGTTTGAAAGCTCGTCTTGTTGCGAAAGGATATGCGCAGACTTGTGGAATTGATTATTCTGATACTTTTTCTCCAGTTGCTAAATTGGCTTCTGTCAGGTTATTCATTTCCTTGGCATCTATTCACCATTGGCCCTTGCATCAGCTTGATATTAAAAATGCATTCCTCCATGGTGATCTTCAAGAAGAAGTGTATATAGAGCAACCACCAGGCTTTGTTGCTCAGGGGGAGAATGAAAAGGTACGTCGCCTTCGAAAATCCTTATATGGGTTGAAACAAAGTCTACGAGCATGGTTTGGAAAATTCAGCCAGGTGATTGAGAAATTTGGAATGAAGAAGAGTAAGTTAGATCATTCTGTCTTTTATAAACGATCTGAGTCTGGTGTTATCTTACTAGTTGTATATGTTGATGGTATTGTGATTACTGGTAATGATACATCAGGCATCCTATCATTCAAGTCTTTTCTTCATAGTCAATTTCATACAAAAGATTTGGGAATGTTAAAATACTTCTTAGGAATTGAGGTAATAAGGAACAAGAAGGAGATCCTTTTGTCACAAAGAAAATATGTACTTGACTTGTTAACTGAAACAGGAAAGTTAGCTGCTAAGCTACGTAGTACTCCAATGATACCTAATTTACAACTTACAAAGGAAGGGGAGTTGTAGAAAGATCCTAAGAAGTATAGGAGGTTAGTAGGGAAGCTGAATTACGTTACAGTTAGTAGGCCTGACATAGTCTATCCAGCCAGTATTATGAGTTAGTTTATGAGTTCTCCTACGACTGACCATTGAGCCACATTGGAACATATTCTATGTTATTTGAAAGGTGCTCCTGGACGTGGTTTGTTATATAAAGATCATGGTCATCTTAATATTGAATGTTTTTCAGATGCTGATTGAGCAAGTTCTAAAGAAGATAGAAGATCAACCTCAAGATATTGTGTATTTGTCGGAGGTAATTTAGTTTCTTGGAAAAGTAAGAAACAAAATGTGGTGTCGCGTTCGAGTGCTGAATCAGAATATAGAACCATGACACAGTCAGTGTGTGAATTAATATGGATATATCAGCTTCTAACTGAATTGGGATTTGGCATCACCACTCCAATGAAACTTTAGTGTGATAATCAAGCAGCTCTCCATATTGCATCTAATCCAGTATTTCATGAACGAACCAAACACATTGAAGTTGATTGTCATTATGTACGTGAGAAAATACAGCAAGGATTGGTGGCTACAGGATATGTGAAGACTGGAGAGCAGTTAGGAGATATTTTCACTAAAGCATTGAATGGAGCACGGATAGATTATATCTCTAACAAGTTGGGCATGGTTAACATATATGCACCAACTTGAGGGGGAGTGTTAGAGAATATATATTAGTATATTTTATATATTGTAGTATATTAGTCATTTACCTTCTCCGTATAGGATTAGGTCAACCTTGTATATTTGTCCATATATGTATATTTGTCTATATATATAGACTTCAGTAATGAGAATAAAATTATCTGGTTCTCTCAAACCTTAGTTTCTACACAAATAAAGTCCTTGAGCACCTTCTCCATAGCCGACACAACTGACTTAGGAGCTTTTAATAAGGAGAAGTACACTGGTATGCTATTCAACAGAGATTGTGCTAGAGTAAGTCTCCCACCCTTGGAAAGAAGCAAATTTCTCCACTTGTCAAGTCTAGCTTTCATCTGATCAATTACTGGCTGCCATAAGATCTTTGTCCTTTGATTTCCACCTAGAGGGAAACCTAAATAGGTACACGGTAGGCTCTCCAATCTGCAACCCAACGTACTGCTCCAATGCTCAACCTCATTTTCATCACAATTTATCCCAACCAACGAAGTCTTCCCCACATTTAGTGACAAGCCTAAAGCAATCAAAAAGATATTGAGAACTCCCCACCATTTGCCTAACAAATTGTTCTGAGCTGTGCAAAAGATGAGAACATCATCTGCATACAGCATACTGTAGGTGAGTGAGCTCAACTTTATCCCCCCAAAGGAAAAGCCTTTTATGTTTTTCCCCCAACAGAAATGCATTAGACGACTTAAGGCATCTCCGATTAAGGTAAAGAGAAAAGGGGACAAGGGATCGCCTTGCCTGAGACCACGCTTAGCAAAAATCTTACCTCTAGGTTTGCCATTAAAGAGAACTGAGAAATTCGTAGAGGACAGGCAGGCCTTTGATCCACAATCTCCATCTAGGCCCAAAGCCTTTTCTTTCCAAAACCACATCTAGGAAAGACCAATGAAAACCTTTCTTCTTGTCTTTCTTCCAGCAACCTACCGCATTCGAGGCTGTAAGAATGGCATCTAAGATTTGACGACCTTCCACGAATGTTGCTTGAGTATCACTGATAATGGAATGGAGAACCTTTTTAAGTCTCAAGTCTCGACGACAACACCTTAGCAATGATCTTATAAAGGGAAGAGACAAGGCTAATCGGACAGAACTCTTTTACACTCGTTGGGCACGCTTTCTTTGGAATGAGACATAGAAAAAGTCTTGGAACACTTTCAACAAGTCGGTTCTAAAAATGTTCCAAGCCTTTTTAAAGAATTCATTCGTCGTTCTGTCCTGTCCCGGTGATTTCAAACACCCAAGGTCAGTGACTGCTTTATGAATCTCTTCAACAGTGAAAGAAGCCTCTATCTGAACTTTCAAAGTCTTTGTCAAAGGGGACCACCCAAGATTTTCAAAAGTGAGACAATGTTCCTCTCTAGTATTATAAAGCTTGTCAAAGTAGGAGACTATTTCTTTCTCGGTATCGTTCTGCTCAGTGAGAATAATACCCTCCCCATTTTCAATGGTTGAGATAAAATTTCTACTCCTTCGACCCGATGTCCATCTGTGGAAAAAATTTGAGTTTTCATCACCCTCCTTAAGCAATCTAAGTTTCCCCTCCTGTGCCCAAAGGCGCTATTCTTTCATAATAGTATCAGTGAGATCCATCTTCAAGGAGACTCGTTCTTCCCTCAACTCCTCATTTATGGCGTCCTGGGAAAATGAGGCCAAAGGTCAAAGAGATAGTGGAACTAAGGGCCTTCAGGGTTCTCCATGAAGATCATGTCTTCAAATATAAGAGGTCTAGGAGCTCCCTCTAAAAGAGCTCACATTAAAGAGCTTTTGCAGTCGTTTAGACTTTAGCCTGGATATAGTCTGTATTCAAGAGTCGAAACGTAGCTCTGTTGACAGAGGCCTTATTAAGTTCATATGGAGTTCAAGACACATTGGTTGGATTACGCTCGAGGCCGTAGGTTCTTCTCGAGGTATTATTGTTTTATGGAATGAACAGCAGGTGTCGGTGATCGAATCGATCATTGGTTTATACTCTGTCACAATTAGCTTTTCTTCAACAGAAGGAAAGCAAGGGTGGTTCACTGGGGTTTATGGGCCAGCGTCCAGCAGTGGTAGGGATGGTTTCTGCCAAGAACTTGCGGATTTGGGGGGTCTTTGTCATAATTTTTGGTGCCTAGGAGGTGATTTTAATGTAGTTTGTTGGCTGTCCGAGAAAGCTTGTAGGGGGCCCCGTAGAATTACCCGAAGTAGGAGGTCTTTAATCGAACTCCTCCGATAACTGTTCGATTAAAGAAACAAGCCCGAAGGCGATTACAAGTTACCCCACCGATTCGAGAGGGTGGGTGACTCTCCTAACTTCCTTACTACGTAAGGTACAATGCCAAAAACAGACTCGCTTCCCTCCCTGTGCATCCTCCCCCTTTTCTATCGTACCTACCTCCCTTCCCACAAAATTGGCAGATACTTTATCTCTCTTGGCCGTTAGGCCTCTCCCTAGGCATTACCCATATTACCCCTTAGGTTATTTCCCAACTTACCCCTCCTAGAATATGTCTTTGTAATTGGGGCCCTAACACCCTTCTTCCCATGGTTGAAAGCTGGTGGTCAACAAATGAGGGAACGGATGGCCTTGTTACGCCTTCGTGAAAAAATTAAAAGGTCTGAAAGGGACTCTGCTGAGATGGAATAAGGAGGTTTTTGGGAATGTGTTAACAAAAAAGAAAGATTTGTTACTTGCTATTGATGCTCCACCTTCCAAATCTTCTGATATTTCTCTTTGTTTATTCAGAGCTGTGGATTATAAGTTTATGAAATTAACTCCAAAAATCAGTAATAACACCAAAAGGTGGGGCTCTCAAGAGTAGGTATTCTAGAGAAAGGACTCACAAGAGAAACCCCCTACAAGATCAGGAGACCAAAAACAAAGATCCCTACCACTTGAATCCCAACCCGATTCTCTAGCAACATAAAAAAGATGAACAACCTCCACCGTCTCTCTGTTAGACAGAGGTCGACTGAAACGGAAGAAAAAAAAGAAGGAACCCCGAGGAGGAAGGCCAGACGCATTAATAATAAATGCTATTCTCTTATCAATATAGGTTATGAATTGTTTCTTTGTAATGTATGGGATGTAGTTTTTTCCTCTTAAACTACACCATTCAGTAACTTTCCACTTTATCAATGAAAAGTTGTGTTTTATTTTAAAACAATAAATATACATTATTCATGTCTCAAAGAGCTCATGAAAAGTTGTGTTTTCTTTTAAAACAATAAATTTACACTATTCATGTCTCAAAGAACACAGAGCTATCTTGAGAGCTATCTTTAAATCCCTCTTGGTCAATTAACAAGTTTTACAGAAATCTCCATCACAACGTTCCCATTTTGACAATGATATGAAATACAAATTAGTTAACAATGTAAGATTTAGATAGAGCACTCACATGCGAGAATCACGGTCTTTTCGAGGATCATAGCCTTTTTTTATCCAAAATCGTTGGAAAGGTCCACTAGAAAAGTAATATGCAATTCTAGAAAGAAGTCTGCACAATAACAAATTCAAACCAACATACACAGACACATGAGTACTATGACTATCCATGGATGGTAAAAAGAAAATATCATGGGCAAATAGTAGTTTTGAGGTCAAAACCTTCTAAACGTTCCAGGTCTAAAATCTAAGCCCATATTAGGCAATCGTTCAATTAGAGACTCCTTTGGCCATATAGGTCGTTCCTCAAACAACTTAGACACAGCAACCTGAACGTCCCATTGTTCTGAGCCTTGGGGAATGTATTTCTCCCAGTTTACAGTCTTTGGAATATGTAAGAATGTTAAGTCCAATAAAAGAAGAAAGCAGAACAAAAAAAAATTGCGCTCAAGGCTCAGTATACCAATTCCCAATTCTTCGAAAACCTCTAGGCATTTAGAAGCATAAAGAAAACCATCATCAAACCTATAGACGGCCATAAAAAAATAAAAATCATGGGGGATAACATATCGGTTCATGAAAGAAAACTAAGAATGACTAAAGATTCAATAAAGTTTAAGGCCAGTTTTTAAGAATTATTCTAGGAATAATAATACCTACACAATGGTTTTTATTTCATTTAATCTTGGTGTGATCCCATCAATAAATTCTAAAATGATCTTTCTAATAGGGGTGCACAACGAAACCGAAGAAACCGACAAAACCAAAAAATCGAACCGAAACCGAACCGAATTTTGGGTTTGGCGGTTTGGCGGTTCGGTTCGGTTAAGCAGAAAAGCATAACTGAAATAATCGGTTCAGTTTCGGTTTTCAAAAGCAAAACTTCCTAAGAAATCGAACTTCACAATTAAATATATGAAAAATAGTTAAAGAGAAACTAGAAACTACTGCAACCATAACATATTGTTAGTTTTTCGTAGGATTAAGAAACAATTAACATAACTTTATAAATAAAATCTCGCAGCATAAGTAAACAAGGATATCTTTAATGTTAAAATCAATTGCAAGAACAGGTTCTATATCCACCTGCAGAGCACGGAAACAAGCATATTAGTTAAAATATCATTTCAAAAATACAATGCAAAGTACAGCAAAAAGAAGAATCCTGCGCAAGACATAGATTAGCATCCAAAATTACACAAGTTTGATAAGTGTCAAAATCACCTTTATAGTCAATACAACATTTGCAAATGGCCAATATACAAATTATTATTTAATTGCATTTGGTGCAATATACAAATACATGGAAGACACATACATGAGAAAACTTATAGCAAATAAAATATAATGATAACACTAATAATAAATAGCTCCATTGTTCGACTACAACAACTAGCGGCAGGAAAACTTTTACCTCGTAAGGAATATGTAGAGTTTCTGCTTTCTTTCTTGGAATAATTGTGGCAGGTGGTTTTAACCTAAAACATAAAACAGAACAGCAATAATTTTTCAGTTCATACAGCAATAACTTTTGCAAGTATGAGACGTGATATTTTAGTTTTATTTTATTTCATATCTGAACGAGTTTTTTTATTTTTAAAATAAGTCAAATGCTGAAACATTATGTTACAATCAAAATGGTAAGAAACATAGGTCTACTACATTTTTTTAAATCCTCCTTTTTAAGTCACACCACTATCAGTAAGCTCAAATTTCAAAATAATGTTACCCCAATTCAAAGAATTTTTCTTTTTTGACAAGATAGTACAAATATAAAGAAACATGACCAAGTAATGTTAGAGATGTTTAGAGGTCCTAGAAAGAGGTTGGAAGAGAGTCATTTCAATGTCTCACATTGGGCATTCTCGTCAAAATGTTTTTTTATTACCATTAAGCAACTTTCTGGTCAAAAGATCTTCTTATTACCCTCACGCAATTTCTTGTAATCTTCTCTTTTTTATTTATTTGTATGCTCCTTGCACAGACCATTATTTTTGTAGCCCCTTTTTTGAACTTCTTTCCTTCGAAGGCCTCCTCTCAGCCCCTTGAAAAAACTTCACGAGGAAAAAGTTCCTAAAACAGCCTATAAAGGCCTTCAGCCCCTTGGAAAACTCTCCCCACTAGCAAGGTCTTGCGAAATTTCAATGGTCCAAAAAGAAACTAAGTGCACTAAAAATTAGTCCTTCGACAAGGGAAGCAAATAGAAGACAACTTCAAACTCTAGGCTGGTATATAATAAGATATATTGGAACTGTACAATCAAACGAATACGTATCCAAAAAACCAAATGAGATGAAAAAAATTCTCACACTAAACTTTCAGGCACATCCTTGACCGCAAATAATGGAGGAACTAAAATCATAATATCCTCCTTGTCTACATCGATGACATTAACCTTCCCTGTATAAATCACTGGTACAATTTAGCCATTTAATAAATTTAATACAAAATCCATTGCAGACATGCATCACTCTCATATGTATAATAATAATATAGACACTAGACACAAAAATTAACACCTAAACATGGCTCACGCATTTCTGTCCAACTCCCCTTCTTCCTCTTTGTAGCATCCGCATGAGTAGCAACAACATGTTGGTAGTCAGCCATGCCTTATAAAATGTTCAGATGAAATTTAGAAAATGTAACCAACAGATATACAGATGCCTCAGAAAGGGTAAATCATATAACTTAAGCACAAGAAAACAAGTATGCATCAAACCCTCGAAGTGATATGCTTCAGGCACGTGAGCAACCATCTCAAACTTGAGGTTTACTTCATCTTCTATAGGTACTTCTCTTTCATCTTTCATGATTCCTTCGATAGCATCACCTTTTGAATGACCTGTCATCATATCAATTCTTGAGTTATTAAGTTCATATGCTTCAAATTTTGAAAAGAATGTACTTCTACATACATATTTTCAACAAAAAACAACAGCATGGACGAAGCTCCCCATATGTTGGATGTGAATATGGGTCTTCAGGTCTAAAGCGAAGCTCTAACTTATTTGACTGGAGACCATGAACCTAGACAACCATGTAAGGTTTAAAGGAGAAAAGTAGAACTTTCAAACTATGAAGATATATTGAAATAAATTGAACAAAAGAAATCGAGGATATAATGCATATATAGTTGTAAACAAGTTAAGTTCATGAAATGATGTTTAAAAAATCATATATAAAATTCAATGTTTGGAAAATACTACAGGCAATCCCATTAACAAAAGACAAAATTCTTTGTTTCCGAATAGTATAGTTATTAGATCTTTCACTACGATGCATGACAAAGTGTCCATGTTGAACACAGATATGTCTGGACACGCACCGAACATGTGTTGACACATGTAACAGCATGTCTTTTTTTATTTCAAACATGTGGCAGACAGGGCCCTAGACAACCAAAAACATCTGAATTCTTACCAAAATTTATAAAAATAAAAAAGTAAAATAAATGTTATTGGAAACTATTTCTTTTGGTTTTCAAAATTTGGCTTAGATTTTTAAAACGTTTTAAAAAGTTGATAATAAGACAAAGGAATATAAGCTTAATTTTCAAAAACAAAAAACCAAAAATAAAATAGTTATCAAGCAAGGCCGGAATATTTGGTGAATGAGAGGTTAAAACAAAGAAAAGGTGCAATGGAATGGTGTTATTAGAGCTCTCCTTTAACTTTTATGGAAAGAAAGAAATAAAAGAGTTTTTGAAGACTCTTGTTCTATAGAGGATTTTCTTTTGGAATAGTGTAGATACTTCTCGGTGGTGTTCAAACCACGAGAAATCCTTTTGTAATTACATTCTCTTAATGTAGTTTTTGGGGTGACCTCCACCCCTAGCCCTTAGTATATCTTTTGTTTTTTGAATTCAAACGGTTTTCTATTTCTCTTCAAAATAAAAAAGATACAAGAACAATAGGTATTTCAAAATGGTGTCTAATGATTTGATACCAACTAATAGTAGTACCTTAAGAATTGATTGTGTTCCTCCTAGAGTTTCAATTGCCCGACGCTTGGACAAAGGATAACCGGGATAGTGAACTGCAAAAGCGTGATTAGTAGGTAAAAGTCCTGAGATAGTGTTGTCCCTCAGCTTTCCCATTCTCAATTTCTGTTCTAGAGATCAATTCACTCCTATTATGAGCCTGAGCCACATTAAAGACAAAAATTCTCAGAACCTTTTTTTTTGCAACACAACATTTTTCATACCGTAAAATAAAAGTTCATACAAAGTGAAAATGAAAATGTAATGCCACAGTATTTTCAATATCCCAAAAAGTGACCGTTACTAAACTCAACCATTTACACAACTCAAAAATGGGAAGACTTCCACCACGCTACCGCTACGCCACTCTGATAAAAGTACTCAATCCGTAATCAATGGCATAAACAGAAACAAACCAAGCCTAAGCCATTAAACCAAGCTCCAATTATCCTAACTTAAAAAGTCAACGAAACAATAAACATCTCCATTAAACTTTCTCAAACGAAACCAACAACCCAACCTTTAATAAAAATCCAAACTAAAAAATGAATCGACTAAGACATCCTACTAACCACCTGAACTGTTACATAAGCCAAAGTACAAATAAAAGTAATATAAAGTAAACTAAAAGAACCCCTAATGACCTATCCTAATCAAATAATCAAATAAAACAAACGGAAGCTATTTATGCCCTTCATGCTCGAGTCTCCTCCACGCCATCACCACGCCTTAAAATCTCCATAACATTATCTACAAGAACTAGGAAAAAGGGGGGCTGAGTACAACCACCGTATTCAGTAAGCAGCATTATCTAAAGGATCACGCACAAACAGCATTTTTAACACAACATCAATACATTATGCTCGTCAACACAACATGTTTATAAACAACATATATAACAAGATCTAAATCACAAGTACATCAACATGCATTTCACGAACTCTAACTCAAGTCCTCCCGACTACGAATCGCTCCAATCCCTAGCTCTCTCTGGCCAACTTTTTCAACCACCTTCAACTCTCCAAGTACTTACTCGAATTGTATCGACCCTACCCAGGACCCTGACACTCCTCAACAGAAACTTGGCGTTCGATCCTTCACCGTTTGTACCCAAGGCCTCGAACTATTGCATCGACCCTTGACCACTTGTACCCAAGGCCTCAATGACTTCGCAACCTATTGACCCTGGACTCTTTGCATCCAAGGCCCAATAATTGTCTCTCAGCTAGACTCATCGCATCGACCTACGACCTTTTGTACTCGAGGCCTCGACACTCATATAATCCAATTCTGGCGTATCCACCCTCGACCATTTGCACCCGAGGCCCTGATACTCACCCTTTCACTTGACCATATCATTTTAGAAATCACACTAGATCCTACAATATGTTTTCTAAACAATGGTCCCATGCACCATTCAACTCACCACAGTTCAACATGCTATATGCACCAAACATCTATGCCTCACACAATTCACCATGTTCCAAACCCAAACAACAAAGCCAACATGCTTTAAACATAACCAATCATAGCACCGGAACAAATAATCATAATTTCCACCATCACATCCCAACCATAACAGAACAAGAAACTCAGCATAGCCAACCAGGACAACATTCAACATGCTTTTAGTAACGCATGATACACTTATGACACACTCATGACACGCTCAATTTAATAGGTACCCAAAACAAAAGAGATTATGTTCCCTGTTAGAATCCAATTTAATTTAATTGAAACGAAAAGAGCGATTGAATGCTCTGTTACCTCCAGAACCTTACTAAACTGGATCAATGTCGAAGGAGTCCGACACCGTAGAATCAAGCTCAAAGAGGTTCGAGCTTCCTGGTTTGATGCCGGAAGGGCTGGGTAACACAAAACTGATGAAGGAAAACGTCAAGAAACTTGCTGGGCGTCACAGATCTGGGCGCGGGGTCGCCGGAGGAATCACGCCGTGAGTTACGCAAAACGACGCCGGAGTTCGCCGGACCTGGGCTGCTGCCGCTGCTGTCCGGTTCTGCTTGGAACGCGTCGCCGCCGTGGAGAAGGCCCGCCCGGGAAGACGCCGCCGTGGAGACTAGATCCCGCCGCTGCTGGACAACGCCGTGGGTCGTCGGGTTCGTGGCTGCTTTTGCTCGATGCTGAGGGATCGTCGCCGTTCGTGGCCGCCGGAGTTGCTGTTCGTCGGAGACGGCCGCCGGGGGTTGCGCACGTCGCCGGAGGATGAGGTCGTAGCAGCAGGTCGTCGAGGCTGCCGTGGATCTGATCCGTTCGTCGTGCGCCGCCGCGAAGAACGCTGCAGGAAACCGGTGCTGGCAGATCTGGGTCGTTGCAGATCGCCGGAGTTCGTGGAGAACGCTGGGCCGTTCGCCGGAGAAGAAGACACGGGGGGTGGCGGCTGGCATCAAAGAAAGGAGGGAAACTTTAGGTTTTCTTTTCTTTTTCTTTATTTTCTCTTTATTTTCCAAAATAAAACAAAAGTGATTAAACCAAAAATAATGCTAATGGATTTTCCTAATATTTTATCAAAATCCAAATAAAATCCTAAAATAATTAAGAGATTAATTAAGTTTGAGACCAAAAGATTTAAGATTTAACTAAAAATCTCTTTTTCAAAATCGAAAATTTAGGATCCCAATAACATATAGTTTTGTGTTTTTGGATTTTGATTTTTTGTGTTTGAAAAACATTGATGTTTAATAACCAATTGAATTTTATGTTTTTTGTTTTTCATAAAATGTTTTGAATTCGATGTAAATTTCAAAAAAAAAAAACTTTTAAAAACATATTTTTGTTTTTCAAAATCTCATTTTATTCTTTTAATAGTCCAACTTTTTTTTTATTAAACAGGTTTCACTCCTACTTCTACAATATCTATAACTGAAAATTCATTTTTACCTACAAATTCATCTGCCCTTGACAATTCACGTAACTTATCCACTGATCCCATGCGTGAACCTATCCACTGATCTCATGCCTACCCCTACTCAGAATAAGTGTGGCAATTATCCTACTTCCACAACATCTATACCTGGAAAATTCATTTCTACCTACAAATTCATCTGCTCTTGACAATTCACGTAACCTATCCACTGATCCCATGCCTACCCCTGCTCAGAAAAAGTGTGGCAATTATCCTGCTTCTACTAGTGACACAACTAATTCGAATGCTAGTGATACAGCTAATTCGATGGTCACATTGCCAGTAGTATCTCACTCAAATGAGGATGCAGTAGTTTTGCCCTTTGGATCTTCTTATGTTTCTTCTGCATGTCAAGATGCAGCCAACTCTATAAATTTGCATTCAGCCCCTTCATCTAATATTCATCCTATGGTCACACGTGCAAAAAAAGGAAACTTCAAACCAAATGTCTTCTTGGCTGACTATCCAGAAGTTCAACCCCCTTCTATCAAGGTTGTCTTGTCTTGTGATCATCGGGTTGCTGCAATGAAAAAAATAATATAATACTCTGCTTAAAAACAATACTTGGTCCCTTGGTCCCTTGGTCCTTGTTCCCGTGCCATGTGATAAAAAGATATAGGTGGTTGCTAATGGGTCCTTAACATCAAGAGGAACTTTGATGGCTCCATTACAAGCTACAAAGCCCATCTTGTAGCAAAAAGGCTTCTATCAGGTTGCAGATATTGATTATACCGAGACATTCGGTCCAGTTATCAACCTATTACCACATGGATACCTTAACACTTGCCTTAGCAAATAATTGGCTAAAAAACAGTGACATTTTAGTCTCTTTTTGTTGGGTTTAATAAAGGCCACACATCGAAGATTCTCTATCACTTGTAAAGGCTGCTCGTGAAAGAGAACTTACTACTCTCTTATGTTAGTGATTTATGGTTAATTGAATTGCCATAATAGTTCACTTGTACTCACAATAGTATATATATACCACTATTATAGCTTCTTATAAAATTGATGAAAGAGTTATCATTCTCTCTATTTCTTGAAATCACTCTCTAACCGTGTCGATGCAATATTCCGCCGAGGTACGGAAGACGAGCTCGGAGGTCGGCCGACAGTACTTGGAGGATTTCTCGAGGTACCTGCAAAGAGGTAAGCCACTTCGATGCCCAAGTTAGTATTTAAGCCAGCTCAATAGGTAAGCATCAGACAAATTTCTCGTACATGGGCCCATGGATGAGTGGTGTATTTATAGCGGTAGATGGGGTAGATGTACGTCCCATCAGTGTATTTCACTGCTCAGACAGGGCCCGATGAGCGACCATCGGTCCTTGGCAGTGACCGGTCTGTTCCCCGTTTTAAGGGATGAGGCTTGACGGGTTCCTTCCTTGTCAAGGTTGTTAAGGCCGACCTGTCAGGTCGGCTCTTCTGGTCTCGGTTCATCTAGGTCGGTCATGCGTGGTTAACCCCCAACAAACCATTTAGAAGGGCAACTTAAATTTGGGTCGGGTTTTTTAGGTGCCTAGTTTGTCGTATAAGGATAGTCTCCTAAGTCATGTGTATGAGTTCTGATTGAAGTAGAATGATGGAAGAGATAGAGTAGATGGAAACTACTACGAATAATGGAAGAGGAAGAAAGTAAAATGAAGATCGAAAATCAAGAAGAATACCTACTTCAAGTTTGTTTGGGGTGAAAATCGTACTGCCACGTGGAGGACAGAAAAAGGTCCAACTTTGGAGGTCTTCCCTTTGGTGGCCAACCTGAAGTGGCCGACCTGTAGTGGCCGACCTGAAGATCTTCCCTTTGGTGGCCGATCTACAGTGGCCGACTTGAAGAGCTCCCATGAGGTCTAACCTAAAGGTATTGCCTGATGGACGACCTGAAGAGCTCCTTGAGGGCCACCTAAAAGCCTTGTCCGATGGCCGACCTGAGGCCTTTCCTGAAGGCCTACCCGAAAGTCTTCCCTGAAGATCATACAAGGGAGGAATGACCTTCCATACTTAGCCAAATTCCAGGATGACAAGAGTATGAACTGGAATAGATACCCCCGACAGGTCAACCTTGGTCCCGACATGCTCAACTGCCGGTCGGATTCCTTGTCGAGTACCTCAGCCTATAAATAGGGCACTTCACTCTTCAGTCAGGTATTGTATTCTAGCTCGACCTTCATACTAAGGTCGAACTCAAAACTGACTTGATCGTCGAAGTGTTTGTTCCTTTGTGTAGGTCTTTCCTCGCCAAGTGGCCTTTCAGCTCATTCCTGACACTTTAGCTCATCCCAGTCAGCCGACCTCGACCCTTTGAGATGGTCATCCCGGATACCCCAACTCTTCCCATGGTCATACCTGGAGCAGGTCAAGCTCTCTCGACGGTCATACCTGGAGTAGGTTGAGCTCTTCTGCGTGACCGACCTTGACCAGATCATACCCCGTCACATTTTTTGCATAAACATTTGGCGTCGTCTGTGGGAAATGACATTTTAAGTTATTCCTACCAAACAAAACTATGGCACGCACGAAACAATCCAATATTCGCGTACCAACGGAGATCTCCGAGATGTTTTCAAGGAC